CGGTAAAACGCGATATCGGTCGTCCAGTCGCCTGTGTCGTGTGTCTAGCGATTTCTCCCGCGCTGTCTGCCGCCTGTTTCTTCTGGCCTGTAAGGCAATATACCGGTCATCTGCGGGTGTGGTTCCTCGTGGACGACCACTACTAAACCCACGGATAGCTGTTCCTGTGGTTTGAAATTGTCTCCAAAGTCGTGAAACGATGCTCTGAGCAATTCCGAACTCTGCAGCCACACTTGTCACACTGCGGCCTTCCTCCAACTTCCCAATGATTCGACCTCGGGTAAAAGCATCCAGATGTCGTCTAACAGATTGATTATTCGCCATTTCTCGCTGAGGCAGCAACTCGGTGTGATTTTAACTGCTATACGGCGTGCAATCTCTTTGCCAGAAATACTGATTTTACACCGACAACATGCTTTATAATACTCAGACACTCCCCCATTTACGTCTACCAGCATATCTGCGCATGTGCTACCGTACATCACCTTACTTAATCTCCTGATTGGTCTTTCTGTCCGCTCTGCCTCTTCGCTCAGCTGATATGCTAATTTTTCAACTTCGTCCTTAATTTTTGCACACCAGTGTATATACATATAACAGAGAATGCATAAATGAAAATCCCCTCACTTGAAATGTGAAGCGAAATTTATGTAGTAAATGTGTACTATTATAGAAATATTAAAAGCAAAATTAAAGAATAAAAACAAGAGAATTATTACTGATTCCATAGAAAGATTGCGTCTTATTAAGAGGAACTGGAGCCTCTTGATAAAACCGTCAACAATTCATGAGGAACCCGTTTTGTTATTTTGCATTTCTGAACAAAATCCCTATTCCATTTTTTTTTTTTTTTTTCCTTTTCTTTTTTTTTTTTTTTTTTCTATTCAACATTGTAAAATCGGAACTCAAATCTTAAAGAAGTTTAGAAATGTGAAATACTTTTAATTTGAATTTGAAATAATTTTCACAGTAGTGCACATTTTGATTTCCACAATAGTACACATTCAGTGCAAAAATTTCACTTCACATTTCATAGTAAACAATTTTCATTTACATATTTTCTATTAAATTAATTTTATTTTTGCAGCTAAGCGCATCGAGGCTGTTTGAAAATTATTAATTTGAATCCAGTTTTTATAAATTTTATTTGTTAGCTTCTAGCAGTTAGGGAAAAAAATCATTCATATTTACGAAGAAGATGAAACACGATAACACCAAATGACTGCGAGGTTTTTTGGAAGAGAGATAATTCCCTTTGAAATATCTCTTTTGCAGGCAATTGGTATTATTTATTTTCCTTTTTATGTACTTTACTATTCTACTCTATTATTTTTTATGTATGCACTGTTCTTTTTTATTTTTTATTTTATTTAAAAAATACGTTTTTGATGAATACCCACACAAATTTTAACTTATTTAAATTTATTTTAAGTATATTACTGTTTTTTAATATTTTATTTCAGTCTTATGAATAATTAACGTTTCTTACTTTCAGTTTATAAAAAACTTTACAATTCCTTTCATAGGAGATAATCCTATGTAGAAAATTAATAATTATGCATATTTTTATATATAATAAATGTATTCATTAAATAAAATAAACAATTAAAGGGCTAAAATTCATAGTTTTTATCTTACTGTTGTTTAAACCTTCTGTTTAACTGAGATAATTATGGCTTTTTACTAATGAAATGTTTTATAAAGCAAAAGCAGACAAAACAGTTTATTAATTTTTAAAACTGATTGCTTAATTAGTTCATGTTTTTTTATGTTTTATAAGGCAAATTGTGGCAGCTCAAAAAAATAAAAAGAGCAAAAGAACAAAGATTGAATGACACAAAATGAAATTAAAAAATGGTTACGATCTGTTGCAGAGTTCGATGAAACGACGAGATGTTCTGTTTTGCAATATTTCGTTTAATGTAAAATGCGACGGTGGAAAAAACTACCAGATCTCACACAGAAGCAAATTTTCTCATAAGCGACTAGTATATTCACTTGCGTAAATCGCTAACCTGAGCAAATATTTTTCAACCAAAAGGTTCAAAATTTGATGATCCAGTAACAACAGTAGAATTGACACAAGTTTACCATAGTGTAAAATCCCATCATAGTTATTTATCAATACAATGATGAAATCAAATTAGCAGGTCTATATATTCTGATTCGATGATTTTTAAAAATACAAGACTGGAAATTGAACCACTTATGCAAAACGTATTAGTTCTCTGTGCTCTTGAATTACACTCCTGCCCAAAAAAATAAGCAACAAAAGCAAAAAGCGGAATAAAACAAAAACTATTTAATAGATATGCGTGAAATTAATCCAAGAAATTTGGTGTGGCATTACTAGACCACATGGCAAACAATAAAGCAAAGACATACAAAAAAACATATTGTTACGAAATGTACAGGCGCGGTAAGATGGCTTCCCCTCAAAGCAGTTTTAGGGGTTGCCATAAAATGGCAATGGAGGGCCGGGTTTCCACATTAGGCGAGAAATCGCCCATTTGGCGACAAAATTGGCGATGTACCACGGACGGTTGGAGAACCTTCTGGAACGAATTCTTACGGGTTTAGTCCAGAATGTTCCCGAACACAAGCCGAAAGCTATATAAACCCTGCTGGTCCGCAGTCAGTTAGTGAGTGAGTCTCAAAGAGTGTGCCTCGTCTAGCAAGCCGTGCGGAGTCGATCGAGTTGACAGCCGGGCAACGAGTACCGAGTGGGTCGTCGAGTGCACCGAAGGAGTCTCTTAGTGTATCGCGGTTAGTGCATCGTCGAGAGAGCGTGTTGAGCTCTGGGAACGAATGAACCGAAAAGTCGGGAGCTGTGCTCGTGTGTCGTCGCAGTGCATCGCGAGTTGTAGCGTGAAGAGTCTCGAGAGTACGTGGAGTTCCGAGACGACGAAGCAGAGTCGGGAGCTGTACTCCGGAAAGCAGAGTCGGGTACTTTGCAGGAAGCTTTCTCCACCGTGATAGCCTGATAACCTGAAGGCTGTGTCGCTGATCGTGTCAGCGTATTTATAGTAGTTCATCGACGACTGTAAAACGTGTTTTGGAGTTGTGTTGACGATACTGGCCAACAAAGTGTGTTTCGATACTTCATCAAGCGTCGTCGTTATTCACTCCAAAATTCACATGGACCCCGTACGAATGTGAAGGAAGAAAATAACTTAACAACTGGTGTCAGAAGAAGAAAAACGCAACAATATATTACGATCACCACATCGCGAAAGACCAAATGGGTCGGAAGAATGTGCAATGGAAACATCTCGCTAATAATGGGTATGAAACCCTCTAGCTGAAATGCGTGCTTGACAAAGGCGAGGCAAGATGGCAGTATCACTGATCGCTTGTTTGTGGTAGTAGTACCAACACCTCCTAGAACTAACTCAAGGCCACGGCGCGCAGTTCGTGACATCACTGCAGTAGGGATACTTTCGTCCTCGCCAACTTTAAGGGTGCCTTCTTAAATATCCATCTGACAGGCTTATATAAAAACTGAAATTTTTATATTTAATTCTCATCGTTTATAAATCTGGAAAATACCTTGCTTTCATTAGAATGTGAAGAACCGAGATTTTTATTTTTAGAATGTTTTCGATACGAATAACTAGAATTTTTAATTCCATTAAAAGTTATTACTGATGTTACTAAATTTAATCGCTGAGAAACTCTTGTTAACGAAAGAAACTTCACACTTAATGAATCGGAATTTTATTTGTACGCAATAATTAAACAGAAAGACAATTTAAGACATGAAGGCAGGATATAGATCCTAAAAAATTGAGATAAATTCTAACTGATTTAAATTATGAAGCTAATTTACCTGGAATCATGTAGCAACATAAAATCATTAGTTGAAAACAAATATAATTAATCAGAGATGTTTATTGGTCAAGGGTCGTATTAATTATACTTACAACAATTTATGCCTTGACTAATAAACATCTTTGATAAGTATAAGTAATATATCTTATTTTTGACATATGTTGCCGAATAATAATAAATACTCATGTTTGAAACAAATAACGCTAAGCTTGCAACGATTTAAATAAGTTTTTATAATTATTTGAGACATTAGGTGCACAGAGAGAATTGCATATTATTTTGCATTTTAAATGGCAAATATCAAATCTCTGATAGAGGTCTGATATAGATCTAAATAGCTAACCTCTGATCTTTACAGGGAAATTTTATAACATGGTTTAGCAGTATTGTGTGGAAGGCAAATGTAACAAATCCTAAACTGGGATATTGAACACAACAAATGAAAAACACAACTATCATTGCATTATTACTGCCGAATAAAATTACTAACATATAATGCCCTTAGGATGCACTAAATTATACATTACAATTCGAAACAATTTATACAGAAATACTTTAGATAACATGTATATGCTTATTTTCAATCAGTCAACTAAAAAGAGGAAGGATTGTTCCAATAGAGGAAAAGAAGAAAATCATCGAAATTGTCTTTGCAGTCAATTCAGAATTATTCAAAACTGTCTGTAAACGGGGAACGATAAATATTGCTTTTTTTTTTTTTTTTTTTTATCACAGACTGCATTTCATCAAATAAAAATGTATGGCATAATATTTCATAAAGACTACATTTCTATCTTTAGAAAGAATTTAAATTGTAGTCTTTATGAAATATCATGCCATACATTTTTATTTCCATACGTATGTATATGCATGCGTATATATGTATGACAATATATTCGATTTCTTTGAAAAAAAAAAAAAAAAAAAAATTGCTTCGACATACTGCTATACAAAATATACAATTTAAAATAATATATTTGGGGTGAAGAAAGAGAATTTTAGGATTTTTAACATATATATATATATATATGAAGTAATTAAATTTAAAAATCAAAACACAATAAAAAAATTTCATGAACTTTAACATATACACATATAAAAGTTGCATTGATATTGCACTATACAAGTAAATGAAGAGGGAATACATAATGAATACCTTTGACAAAAAATAAATGAAACTCAGAATTTCGTAAATTTTAATGCGTGCAAATATATAGAAATGCATACATTCCCTGTAGCAGGTAAAAATTCATATTTTGGTTTGAATAGTTTGTATTTTGCGCCTTTTAACTACAGGCTTAGGCAAATCATTCATTTTTTTTGCAATAATTATTCAATAAAGAATTTGTTGCTGCCATTACTAAATATTTTATTATAATATCAGCCGAATGACCGATTTCACATGCATCCATAAATACATCACAGTCTTTCAAATTTTGTAAAGTTGATTTGACTGTTATTTGTCTCTGAATTTTGCTTTTTAAAAATTTTTGTTCATTGTTCACTGATAGAAGTTTTTGAACTGTTACGTAATTATACATAATTACAGTAACAACATCCGCTCGAGGGCATAACAAACCTCCTCGGCTCATATTTTTAATTAAGGAATAATTTTGATTATTTTCCAATACTTTATCTGTAACTAAAAGTTTAAAACAGGAATTGCATTTAAGTTTTTTCAGAGCAGCTCTTGCACAATAACCTGACAGGTATGTTAATACTGGTAAAAAAGTTTCAGCATCTTCAAAATCCTTTTCTGTAATACTTATGTCAAATTCTGTAAACTCTTCTTCAATTTCATCCACTTCGATTCTGTTGTCAGTGCTGCTAATTTTTATTTTTCCATATGTGCTCGAATTGAGAGTAAGGGGTAAAAAGTTCTGGAGACGTAATTCTGTTTCTGCTTCATAGACTTGTCTTACAGATATTAAATATTGTGATCCGGCTAAAGACCTGTATTTCCCAAATCTGGCTTCCAGGGTATCAGTTTGAATTTTTCCTGGAAGAAAGTACTTAAATTTCAGCTCATGAAGGCAACATTTTGACATCTCCATTATACCATGAGTTGTATGACTGATAGCCAATAGTGTATCCTTTGTAAGAGTGCCTGTTGAAGAATTTTTTTCCAGTAATCGAGCCAAAGGAGAAATTTTTCTAGAAACTCGGAATTTATATGACACTTATCAGAAATAGGTCTCTGAAATTCATCTCGGAAACGATCTCCTTTGAAAGGCGTTTTCACGTTCATGATGCACCACCATTTGTATATAATGTCAATAAAATTCGCTGTGGATTTATAATTTTTTAGTTGGTGTTCATTGCCTAATTTCAAAAGTGCTTGAATCACATATGGATTAAATATATCCAATACAAGTTTAACATTCTGTCTTTCAAAATTTGATGGACACAATGCTTTCAAATTCAATCCATAAGCATATTTGACTAAATTTATGCTTTCTATGCTATGAAGTTGTCTTAAAGTAGAAAAGGATGCCATTAAGAAATTTGAATTTAAAGTTTCGAAATCTGGATAATAAAATGTCTGATCTGCACTTTTTTGATTGAGCCAATTGTTCCGTATGCATTTAAATATATGAACAGAATCAATAATAAAGAATAGTGGCCGAGTGGCATCCGATGGATGTGGATACACTATGCTTAATTTTGGAGGAGATGTAAAAAACGACATAGTTTTCCTATTAATGGCATTATTGTCACTGACAACACAGATAACTGAGAAACCAAGTTTTTCTAAACTTAATATTGCTGTATCATGAAAACATGTGCAGTTGTAGCTATGTTTTCAGAATTGTAAGCCATGCCTACAATGTTGCCAGCTTTATAGTCGACATATGGTTTTATGTGAATTTCATCGATCATCATTGTAACTATGCGATCGCATTCTTGAAGTAAAGGACTTTTTTGTTTTAAGTGTTTTAAAAAGTCCTCTTCGCATTGTTCATTCTGAGGATTAGCTACCAAAGATGAGCATAACCTTTGAATTGTCCGAGGGTGAGGAGCCAAAATACACCCAGAACTCCTTAAAAATTTATAAGCATGGGGTGAAATTGTACATAAAATACTGAATAGTATCATACTCTCTGGAGAATACCGTAAGTTTTCTTTGGATGTATTAATTAATGTTAATTGCTCCCTAATGAATTGTATGGCTTTCTGCTTATTTTCATCGTATTTGTTCTTCAATATTTTCTAAAGTTTCACAAACAGAATTTATTCTTAAATTCTGCACATCACTTTTAAATTCATACGATAACAAAGCGTTTAAAATAGAAATTACCTCATCTACATTGCCAACAGATGCTGGTAAAGTTAAATTATTAAATTTTTTAAGTTCAGTTTTCCCAATGTAAACTGAAAGTTCAAGTTTTTCGTTTATTAATGCTGAAATATTTATTTCAGGGCACGGTGTTAGCTCAATAATTAAAAAGATAGCTTCCCGTGCTCTTTTAATACAGTTCCACGAGCCAGGTAGCTTTTCTTTTCCCATCTTATCTAAAAATTCAGAAAATGAAGAAAAGGATTTTTCTTTTTCATTCGTCTGAAACTGGGATATACTTTCAGTTACAGCCCACTGAAGATTTTTATTTTCTAGCCTTTGACGACGTTCATCTGGGCTTTCTCTCACGATAAATTCCCTTGAAATATATTTTGGGCAGTTTGGGAAAATACTAGGAATCGCAAAACGTTTTAATTTGTACCTCGATAAGGGAGCAGTCACCTTCCTTCCAGTCCTTTCATCAACGAATTCTGTACATTTTGAAATGTCCTCAGGGTGAAAATGAAGGGCACAAACCTATCAGCAAGAATTTTTATACATTAAGTTTTTCGGCTTTAAACTGAGCATACATTATTAAATTTCATTAAAATTTGTAGCATAAAATAATACAGGTTAGGTTAGGTTATTTTAATTATGGCAAAGCCTCGAGGGCTATCTGCCTAAGGGGAGGGATGCCTTCGTGGAGGACTTTCTAAGGGAAACTGGCTCGTATATACGTTACACATGGGGAAAACCCCGAAAACACCCATGCAGCCAGCCCGTTGGCGGGATTCGAACCTCGGACCGAACTACCAGTGTTCAGCGACTTAACCGCTCGGCCGCTGGTTGGCCACTAAAGTAATATAAGTTAATGTTTATTCACGACTAATAGAAAGAAAATCATACTTGTCTATTAATTGTATAAAGTGAAACAAGTACTAGTTTTGAAGAATAATGTCTAATTAGATAGAAAAATCTTTTGTCAAATAAAGTGTTGCATAAATTTAATTATTTACTTACAAAAAATACGAAACACTTGCATGCAAAGATTGTTATAATCGGATTTAATTATCTAAACTAGAATTAAATACAAGATTTTGTAAAACTTCATATTTAATGATTTATGTTATATTAAGTGAATTTTAAGAATATCAGGCATGAGCTCACAAAAATTTAAATAGCGTATTTTTTCGCATTAACATCAGAAACAAAATTGGTATTAGTTACAGAGATATTATCAAGATTTTTCAAGGTCTTCGGATTTTAATAAATACGCTGTTCCTGTGACAAATGTATCGAGATATTTAAATGCGAGCATTTTGCAACATACAAAATGTATTTACAATTTTGAATTTTTATTAATCCTACATTTAATCTAATCCTACTTTTAAGTCACACATTTGTTTAATTTACTTAACTTGGTAAATGATGCTATTTACTACAAATTGACTAGCATGACGATAAAGAATGCCATCTGCTAGAGATTGAACGATTAGCATGATGATGATAAACAGTACTATCTGCTATAAATTAAATTAATAGTATGATTAAGTCATCATACTTATATAATCACTATTAGATTTACAATAAGATTAAATATGTTTACTTTCTATAAATGTATGTACTCGCTTTAGTTTATGATAATTATAACATACTTAACACAGAAGCACTTTTTAAAGCACAGATAAGTATAAACTTATTCATTAAAAAAAAAAAAAAAAAAAAAAAAAAAACGCAACTTACCTTCGAAAATTTTGTTGGCTTGAAATTGCTTCTATGAATCGCCTTTATCCATTTATTTAAGAATTCTTTCTCTTTCGGAAAAGAGAAAACCTGTACTTTTGGACCATTTGGATAGTTCCCTTTACAGTTAGGTACACAGCATGTGTAAACCATATCAAAAATTTGAAAAACAAATAATAAAGTGGAATACTTATAATATAGAAATATCTGAAAAAAAGAAAGAAAATGTCGACTGTTCTTATGGACGATTTCTGACCAAGTGACCGTCAAAACTCCGGAAATCCAGCCACCACAGTCCTGGGTGGGGAGAGTTAAATGAAATACAATCCCTACTGACACAAACGTCCAAAGATTCTTTGCTGACTTCACACCTCCTCTTGGGAAACGCGCCGTGGCCTTGAGTTAGTTCTAGGAGGTGTTGGTACTACCCATCCCTGTAGTAGCGCATGTCAGAGCTCGTGCAGGATGCCCTCGCGGCACAGTGCGATCTGATATCCTTCGCCCAACTTGTCGCACATATACTATACGGGATTCAAGTCCGGTGATGTGGCAGATGTGGAATGATCAGACGACTCGAGCTTTATGCGGGAGGCGTTATCGTTATTAAATATTGCGTCGGCACCCATTGCAGCAACAAAAGGACGCACAAGAGCACCAGGAATCCCGCAGAGGTCGGTGCAACCATTTATTGCTATCCCAGTCCATACAAGTAAGCATTCGCCTGTGTTACAGTCTCTTTGGACGATGTTTGGAGCTCGAAAGCGTGTCCCGGGCGCTCGCACTATTATTGCCCTTCGAGGATTGTTCTGGATGTTAAACTGAGACTCATTCGTAACGAGTACGTGGATCCACCAAAGAATTTGAATAGACACAACAATAATAACAACGAAGAACCCCAGGGGAAAAAAGCCGAAATATGCATTGCATCGCCATAATAGCTTTAAAATCTTACAAAAATAGACTTGTTTATATAATAAAAACAAAAATTACCTTATGCACTAAAAAAATAAATAAATAAATAAATCGTGTAGTATTTATTTTCTTAGAATTTATTAGTTCAAAGGGGTAATTTGATCAGAAGGACTATTCATTTCGCTTTGGCGGTTTGCACGGTAAGCGTTGTTTCACTTTTCAAACTGTTGCCACCAAATATTATCGCCCTCTATTATATTTAAAGAAATTAAATAATGAAGAATTTCAGACTGTATGTATGTTTCCGCATGTATAAACAAGGTACTAGAGCCATCAACTTTGAAAAGTAATATTCATAAGAAAGGGCTGTGAAGCCCTAATTTGTTGGAATTTGTTTTATTTCGATTTCGATTCGGTAAATAACGAATTTTTGATAAAAAAAAACTAAAGTTCAAAGCGCAATGGACACATTGTACGTGGGGGGATTTTATCTCCAGCGTGCGAGACTTTTGAATTCTAAAGATATCATTTAAATTTATTTGCGATTTGCTGTTGAAACGATTTATGGTTTAGTGCGATGAAATGATTTAATAAATAAATTGAAAACAAAGTGTTAAAAACCTCTTAGACGTGATTAAAATCTGAAAGGTTCAGATTTAGTATTATTTTTTAAATTTTTATTTACTCATAATATAGTTGCTTTGAAATTTCAATCGATATAATAAAACGGACTAATCGAAGCTGGACTATGGGAGATATTCCTGCAAATAATTTTGTAAATCCCCCTTTTCTAATGTTTATTAAAAGTAATGAATTTGTTCAGATAGTTTGAAATTTCTGTTTTTGACATGTTATTTACAAAAACACGAAACAAAGGTAAAGCTTCCAAATTTTATTCTTAAAATACGGTAACTAGATTTTAATTTGATGAAATGAAACTTTATACCAGGTATTCTAAAACTTATTTCACAGACACGTGTGATTACCGTATATATCCGCGTATAAGTCGAACCCCCCCAACTCCGATATAAAAAATTTAGAAAATAAGAAACCGCGCATGAAGTGACCCCCCCCCACTTCAAAATCGATCGAGAAACTTAGAAAAAAAAATTTTAAGTACTA